AACAAATCAATGGCCATACTGAACTTGCACTTTAATCTAGTAAAACTGACACAACTATAAGCCATTATGCAAAAGTATAAAGAAATTATAGATCAACCATGACATAGTTCAAGTCGGAGAATTCACTCAAATCAGTTGTTCGGGAAGTAGCATCAACAGATTCTCATAATTTTCCGTTACAGAATCAGCAGTGTCATGAAAATATTGAACCTGTGAGAGTGGGAGACTGATTGAACTGCTGTGCAAGTGGTTTAAACTTATAAACCTTTAAACCCATCTCACACACTGCAAACCAATGCCTACTGTCGTGAAACAACCCCAACCTAAGCACAAGACACGTGTCGGCCAGCTCTTGAATACCTGTACCTAGTGTTTAGGTAAACAGTCTGTTGATTGCCAGGCTATGAAAGAATGTCCCACAGTGATACAAGTAGTTCAAGCATTGATCTCTGATTGGCTGAGATCTATATCTGAAATATGTCAATCAATTCCGTATTGACTGCCATTCCTTGTCTCCAGAAGCCTGTACTTTATATAGCACCTTTACTCACAGCTTGCCTATGTCATGTGGACATGCCACTCTGGGCAGGAAGCCAGGTGTGATTTGCGCAGTATCTGTGACACAGGTAGACGATCGGCTGATAAGGGACCATTTAGTCTTGGAGAGAGAGAGAGAGAGAGAGAGAGAGAGAGAGAGGGGAGAAGAAAGAGGAGGAGGGGGGGGAGAGAGAGGGGGAGGAAAGAGAGAGAGAGAGGGGGGAGGGGGGAGTACAGATTGATAAGTCAATACTTCAACTAAAACACAAAATCTCTGGTGTGAGAATTTTTTTTTCTTGTACCTACAAAATAATCTTCTGGACATTCATCTGTGCAGTGAGCGGTTTATTATGTCGGTAATTGTTGGAACTAATTATAATTTTTCAGCATTTTTGGAAACAGGTTATTATTTTTTTTAAGGTCCCAGCCCCCTAACAGCACACAAGTGTTGCCCCCTAAGGGTGCTTGTCGGACGGGGGGTGGGGGTGGGAGGAGGGTATCACTGAATCAGGGTGCTGTACATCTAGTACTCTCTCAGTTTCTGTATGTAATTTGTTTTTTTGTTTAACACCTCATTCAGCAATAGTCCATCCATGTATGACGGTGGTCTGTAAGTAATCGATCAGGGCCAGACAATCCAGTGATTGACATCATGAGCATCAATCCACGCAATTGAGATACGATGACATGCATCAACCAAGTCAGCGAGCCTGACCACCCAATCCTGTTAGTCGCCTCTTAAGACAAGCATAGTCACCTTTTACAGCAAGCATGGGTTGCTGAGGACCTATTCTAGCCCGGGTCTTCACAGGTCACATACCGTATATATGACTGCAGATAAGCTGATCTCATAGTTAAGCCGAGGTATGAACTTGATCCTTGAAATGTGTATGGTATCCGTGTGCTAAATATGCATAATGTCGGAAAGTGCAAATCTCTCTCCCTCTCAAATTGCCAGGATGTGAAAATGAACAACATGCATCGATGTACTTTCCATAGTTTGGAGATTGATGGGATTTCACTCACTTGCCCGCTCACTCACTCACTCACTCACTCACTCACTCACTCACTCACTCACTCACTCACTCACTCACTCACTCACTCACTCACTCACTCACTCACTCACTCACTCACTCGCATAGTACCTCTGCCACAAGCCAGCGCCATGTTACAATTCGTCACATCTTTCACAGTCCATTCAAAATATTGAATCTGCTTTTCATCCGTTTCATATTTGACAAGTGTACACATTTTCATAAACTAATGTCAAAGAATGGTTACGGTTCATTAAGAAAGTATCCCAATACGTGAAAATCTGCTTGTTTTTGCGTAGTTATCCTTTGTTTACATTGGTTGTACGGCTCCATGTGCTGTCATCGAAGTCCAACGGAGAGCTAGCGATACGGTCACTTTGATGTATAAATATATATTGTCATGCAACTCACTGTCGCAGTTGTAGTAGCATATCTATATAATTATGCAAAATGATATGTTAAGCACCCCCCAAATACTTCCATTAGTCCGTTCTCTACTGATTTCTGAAAAAATGCATGTTTAAAAACAAGAGTAGCCTAGTGGCTAAAATGTTCGCTCGTCACGCCGAAGACCCAGGTTCGATTCCCGACATGGGTACAATGTGTGAAGCCTATTTCTGGTGTCCCCCGCCGTGATATTGCTGGAATATTGCTAAAAGGGGCGTAAAACCATACTCACTCACTCACAAACAAGAGAAAAATCTGGTCACGTGATATGCAAATTAGCCTGTGGCAGTGGTGTTATGCTGAGTCACGACTGCGCCGGCGTGTGTCTCAGTCGCTGTGGCCAACTCTGCTTCCTGGTGTTGTAATGCTTGATATTTTCTGATTCCGATGATTAATTCCATTGTGATATTTCTGTTTGTGCTTCTCATCTGTGTGCCAGGTAATCTATTAATCCTGATTCCAGCGGTCATTACCAGCCTGTCACTGGGCGGGAGCTTCTTGTTGACAGGGATTTGTGATTCCAGCCATTGATCGCACCTGCCTGAGCTGACTCGATGAATTGATCGGTCACGCTGAATAATGTATAACTGCAGGTCATGTGACCCGTTCGGTAGAGATCAATAGCCAGCAGTTACCTGGGGAAAACATGTATAGTCTGTTCTGTATAACATAGCGGGTATATGGGTGTCTGTTCTGTATAACATAGCGGGTATGTGGGTGTCTGTTCTGTATAACATAGCGGGTATATGGGTGTCTGTTCAGTATAACATGGGTGGTATATGGGTGTCTGTTCAGTTTAACATAGCTGGTATATGGGTGTCTGTTCTGTATAACATAGCAGGTATATGGGTGTCTGTTCTGTATAACATAGCAGGTATATGGGAGTCTGTTCAGTATAACATAGCAGGTATAAGGGTGTCTGTTCTGTATAACATAGCGGGTATATGGGTGTCTGTTCTGTATAACGTAGGGGGTATATGGGTGTCTGTTCTGTATAACATAGGGGGTATATGGGTGTCTGTTCTGTATAACATAGCAGGTATATGGGTGTCTGTTCTGTATAACATAGCGGGTATATGGGTGTCTGTTCTGTATAACATAGCGGGTATATGGGTTTCTGTTCTGTTTAACATAGTGGGTATATGGGTGTCTGTTCTGTATAACATAGTGGGTATATGGGTGTCTGTTCTGTATAACATAGTGGGTATATGGGTTTCTGTTCTGTATAACATAGTGGGTATATGGGTGTCTGTTCTGTATAACATAGTGGGTATATGGGTGTCTGTTCTGTATAACATAGTGGGTATATGGGTTTCTGTTCTGTATAACATAGTGGGTATATGGGTTTCTGTTCTGTATAACATAGCGGGTATATGGGTGTCTGTTCTGTATAACATAGTGGGTATATGGGTGTCTGTTCTGTATAACATAATGGGTATATGGGTTTCTGTTCTGTATAACATAGCGGGTATATGGGTGTATGTTCTGTATAACATGGTGGGTATATGGGAGTCTGTTCAGTATAACATAGCAGGTATATGGGTGTCTGTTCTGTATAACATAGCGGGTATATGGGTGTCTGTTCTGTATAACATAGCGGGTATATGGGTTTCTGTTCTGTATAACATAGTGGGTATATGGGTGTCTGTTCTGTATAACATAGCGGGTATAAGGGTGTCTGTTCTGTATAACATAGCGGGTATATGGGTTTATGTTCTGTATAACATAGCAGGTATATGGGTGTCTGTTCTGTATAACATAGTGGGTGTATGGGTTTCTGTTCTGTATAACATAATGGGTATATGGGTGTCTGTTCTGTATAACATAGTGGGTATATGGGTGTCTGTTCTGTATAACATAGTGGGTATATGGGTGTCTGTTCTGTGTAACATAGTGGGTATATGGGTTTCTGTTCAGTATAACATAGTGGGTATATGGGTGTCTGTTTTGTATAACATGGCGGGTATATGGGTGTCTGTTCTGTATAACATAGTGGGTATATGGGTTTCTGTTCTGTATAACATAGTGGGTATAAGGGTGTCTGTTCTGTATAACATGGCGGGTATATGGGTGTCTGTTCTGTATAACATAGCGGGTATATGGGTTTCTGTTCTGTATAACATAGTGGGTATATGGGTTTCTGTTCTGTATAACATGGCGGGTATATGGGTGTCTGTTCTGTATAACATAGTGGGTATATGGGTGTCTATTCTGTATAACATAGTGGGTATAAGGGTGTCTGTTCTGTATAACATAGCAGGTATATGGGTTTCTGTTCTGTATAACATAGTGGGTATATGGGTGTCTGTTCTGTATAACATAGCGGGTATATGGGTTTCTGTTCTGTATAACATAGTGGGTATATGGGTGTCTGTTCTGTATAACATAGTGGGTATATGGGTGTCTGTTCTGTATAACATAGTGGGTATATGGGTGTCTGTTCTGTATAACATAGCGGGTATATGGGTGTCTGTTCTGTATAACATAGTGGGTATATGGGTGTCTGTTCTGTATAACATAGCGGGTATATGGGTGTCTGTTCTAGAGACACCAGAGTAGTGATGTCATAGTACTGTGATGTCACATAATGAGCTTACAGAGTAGTGATGTCACAGTACTGTGATGTCACACAATGAGCTTACAGAGTAGTGATGTCATAGTACTGTGATGTCACACAATGAGCTTACAGAGTAGTGATGTCATAGTACTGTGATGTCACACAATGAGCTTACAGAGTAGTGATGTCATAGTACTGTGATGTCACACAATGAGCTTACAGAGTAGTGATGTCATAGTACTGTGATGTCACACAATGAGCTTACAGAGTAGTGATGTCATAGTACTTTGATGTCTACACTTGTGGATGCCTTGTTTATATTTTTGACATTTAGTTGAAATAAATATGACTTAACTTAACATGTCCAATGTATATATTCACACAAACATTGCAAAAACTGACTTGTGTTGTTTTCCTGATTCCAGAGATGCGTCCAGTCACACCGCCCGAGGAGCGAACAGAGGTGGAAGACAAAGAACACAAGCGGCCACCTCGGGCTCCTGACCGCAAGGTCACGGTCACAAATACAGATTTACTTTTCCGACTTTTCGATGGGGTTGGTGAGGAGGTCACGAAGAAACCAGTCGGAAGTCTTAAACGTGGAAGGTGAGCAGCCTGCAGTCATATCAAGAACATTAGGGACCGAGTATTGGATATCCCTCGGGGGAATGTGATTTTATCGAAAAAAACTATTCCAGGAAATGCTTGAAATTGATGCACATGATGTCAATCATTGGATTGTCTGAACCAAGCAATCCCAGTTTGGGAAATATGTCTAATTTGCATAATCCAATATTGCCACCGGTTATCAATATATCTTCCATATTTCAGATGAGGTACAATCTTTTGATGAAAAAAACCACTATTTCCCTAACTAGGATTGTTATTAACATATGATGTAACATACCACATCACTAATCCCTCTGTTGTGTATAATTTGTCATGTTTCTTGACGTCATCAAACTGGGTACTGCAAGATTATGTATAGATGTTCCTCTTATGTTTTACAGCAAGACATCATTAATTAATGTAAACCATGACACAGTCATCAGCGATTTGAGATTTTATTTGTTTAGACTTGTTTATGCATCTTAGTTTCAAAATGATGGGGCCAGCGTGTAACCTGGTGTTGCATGCATATGTATATGTATATTTGTGTACATATATACGTCAATATGTATTTCACCTTGAACCATACTGCAATCTAATATGTACGTGTTGTCACTGCAGGCCAAAGAAATTGATGCCAAAGAGCAACACAAAGGGCTTGCTGTCGGGGAACGATCCGTACCTAGTGGACGCCATGACTGATAAACTTTTCCCCAATCTTTCTTTGGAGGGTCGGCATGGTGCACAGTTAGGCAACACGTCATTACAGCTGATTACAGTACGAGGCGACGGAGATAAGACTGTCACATTACCTGCCCTCAGTTTCGATCAGAATTATTCACAGATGTTATCCGAACTGGTCATGCATATTTAGCATGGAGACCTATGTTGTTGTGTTTGTGATTGTGCCAACAGTTGGAGTGTTTAGACAGTTCATCAAGAGCCTGATGACTTGAAATTGTCATTACTGAGGGTGAGTCTGGGGGTGTTTGAAGTTGAAAGATGAATCTTGCAATGGAAGAAAACTGCCTGCCAAGAAAGATAACGTAAGATGTCAACAAGGGAGATAACTTCAGAGGTCAACAAGGGAGATAACTTCAGAGGTCAACAAGGGAGATAACTTCAGGGTCAACAAGGGAGATAACTTGAACAAAAGGTCAACAAGGGAGATAACTTGAAACAACAAAGTGGATAACTTCATCTGACATTAAGGGAGGTAACCCAAGTCATCAAGTGACGCAACCCCAGCTGACATCAAGGAGTTGACCCATGTTCATCAAGGGAGGTAACCATGTTGTCATCAAGGGAGGTAACCTCCACTGACCTCAAAGAGATAACCCGCTGTGACATCAAGGGAGGTAATTTTCAATCCCACTTGAAAAAGATCTCAAGACAGAGTGGCGACAAATTAGTATTTGTGTCCTGATCATCAATCATCCCCTCAAGATGGTATCGGGACAGATGTTAAACTGTGTGTTTTATCTTTGTCGGGTAGACAGATTCACACCCACCTCAGAATGAACAAGGAACAGGTTGGAAATGATTTGTTGAATTTGACGAAATATGACTAAAATATGATGTTATCGTGAAACAATTCCAGGTATTAATGACGTTCTTGTTTGTTACACAAATGTGATATAGTTGTTGACATTGTGATGGGGTCGTCACAGACGGAGACAGACACACTATGTGTGTCTACTGTGTGTTTAACACAGTCGTGTAAAAGTGTGTTGTTTACTAGTTGCTGTCTGTCAGTCGCTATTCATCCTCCTCCGCTGTGTCGTTTTTTCATTACTTGATTTGCAGTATGATTTTTAAAAAGTAGGATCCGCTGAATTGAAGATTAATATGCATTGCACTCATTTACTCCTTTCACATGTTTACATTCACAATTATTCTAAAACAACAGTTAATCTGTTTTTTTTAATATTGTCATCAGGACATTTTTTATTGTGTACCGATTTTCCCAGCCAAACTTCAGTTATACAACCGGCAGAGTACCAAACTGAAGAACATAAGAGTAGATACAAACTAAATTTCCTCTAAAATAAATTAAAATAGATTCACAAGAATCCAAACTGAATGATATTAAAAATGATTATATTTTTCTTCAAAATATTTCAATTTTATAAAAAAAAAAAAACATTTTGGAAAAATGTATAGCAGACTTCTCTGTAAGACTTACAGTAGAATTGGTCCAGGTTGTAAGATTATTAAGATTACATTGTATGCATGATTAGGGCATGATGTCAGCAACACTAAGCCCTACGGCAGGCATATACTAAAGTTGTTTTGGCATGTATTGTATTCAGTTTATGAATCATTACTTTTATGTCATTGGCCCTGATTCAGTATTTTTACCTCAATTCTTGCAGTGTAATGAAATATCAGTGGTTTTATATATGCAATATATCAATCTAGTTGTTGCTACTTCCGTCCAAGTTTAGCAGCTAATTTGTACTGCATCTAATTCATAATGCTTCATATTTCATAGTGTGTTTGTAAACAATTATCAAATTCTTTAAATTATTTGGGACTGTAATATTTACTTATGTGATTTTTAGCTTGTTGCTATGGTAACCTACCTCTATTGACAATGTCTCATATGAAATACTAGTTTGGGATCAAATCCTCTGAAATTGTTTTTTGTTATTGAGTTTTATATGTGCTTGAGAATTGTGTTTGAGAACAGTAATAATACATGATGTTAATGTTTTTAGATTTCCCAATGGGAAGTTCTCTGACTTTTGTTCCATATCTTCTTAAACATCATATGTCCCACAACATTATTACATTATTGTGAGGTTTCATCCCAAGTATCTGTGATAAGTCGGATCGGGTCATTAGTCATAATGTTTCTACTGGATCAGACCGTCCTGTGTCATGCTGTCAAGAGTTGTCTCCCCTACTCGTACAGAAGAATAATCACTATTTACTGACATGACATAAATTGTCAAACTTTCCACTTTGTAACCATGGCGATACACAACAAGGGTGGAATATGGATACCTCAGATACCACAATGACCTCATTTTCAGTTACCTGAGACTTTCGGACTGTCTTGCGTGGACAGATTACTGTATTCGACATAATAAGCACCCAGGGCGCTCTCAAAATTAGGAATAGGGGGATCTTATTAGAATATAATTTTGGTGAGAATTTTTTTTTGGTGAGGTGATAGATTGTAAATTTCGTGGTTTAAGCTGACAGCCTGAAATGAAACAAAAGAAAAGTTGGTGCGTATTATTCACCACAGATATATTTTCCAGAATTTAATTGCCCACAATAAAGGGTGCATATAACACATGAGTGTGTATTATACACGAATAAATGAGTCTTGTGTACATTGATCAATCGGAAAGGGTGCTAATTGGGATTGTTCACTAGCCAATATATTAACAAATATCGCTGTGGGCGCTTATTAGAGCGGGGCACTTATTACGTCGAATACGGTACCTATTTCGAGGACTTCATGAGGCCTGTGTGAGGTCCACATGAGGTCAGCTTGCCTGCTCACTCTAAAACATTTCACATCAGCCACTTTGAACGCGACCATGGGGAGGGGAAGGAGAGTCAATACAGTTAATTAGCAATCTAATTGCCAAAAATATAACTCCTTTGTTGAACAGTGTTTAACATGTTTTGAATTGTCAGTCCACCATTTAAAGGTACTGAATTTGAATCTGACTTGAAGTCAGCAACAATTAATTCCTTGAAATTACTGTTACATAAATATACTTTTCCGTAACAAAGTGTGATTGGGTCATGTAGGAAAGATCAGTGTGAATAGATTACTTGAGGATTGATCAGGGGTGCTATTTGGAGCAGTGCTTATAATACAGTGAATATGGTATGGAAATTTGATCAGGTGCAGATTTTCATTGGAGCTGAGGTTTAATGTTTTAGAAACTGTGAGCAAGTTGTTTGAGGTGACCCATTAACACAAAGGGAACAGGTGGACTCTTGTCTTCTGTTGAGAGAAGGGAGAGTTGACATCTTCACCCAAAGTCCCCTTTAAACATCAGTTGTTGAATTGTTGGATATCAATTTTGTTTTTAAATTATTGTTTGTGGAGAATATTTCTCTGGTCAATTTTAATTTCATACATTTTTGTATATATTTTAATTTTAGCACAATTTATATCCCATAGTGCTCCTGCAAATATGCTGTGTGTATTTGTGATGTTTATGCAAATATGTAGAACTTTGTCATCATTCAACAAATTTGCTCAAATGTGATTGCTATCTTCACTACTAAAGTCCATTTCATGCCTAGTAAACAAATATTTAAATACTGCTATATTTCTATAAATAGTCCAGGGAAAATTAAGTATTTTTTCAACAGAATTTGAATTTATAATTTCCAACTTTTTACATCTTGACTGATGAATTGAGCTTTTGACATGTCTTTACATAATATACCGAACAAAAACATCAGGGATCGTGAAATATCTTTATATACTGACACATTTAAAAAAACTTCACTACAAAAAATACTTATTCATGATCCCTAACCTTTTTGTCCAGAATAGAATGTATACCCAATTTAAATATTTCTTTTTGGGGCATATCACGTTGACAGATTCATAATAACAAGATCCCATCTTCAAGTGACATTCATGTTTTTATACATGTAGGTGTATCAATTTGGAATGAACAATTTTATGTTTCATATTTCAGAATGATATATTCATGTTCATTTTTTCTATGATCATTGTATTTTTAGAATCAAATCCATCATGCATCTATTTCCAATCCCATTAAGATTAGATCCATTACTCCAATACGATACTTCTCGACGTGATCTGACAAACCTTTCAAAGCTGGCCGTGTCAGGTGAACATTCTTATCAGCCTATAAGGGGCGGTCGGGTAGCCTAGTGGTTAAAGTGTTCGCTCGTCACGCCGAAGACCCGGGTTCGATTCCCGACATGGGTACAATGTGTGAAGCCCATTTCTGGTGTCTCCCGCCGTGATATTGCTGGAATATTGCTAAAAGTGGCGTAAAACCATACTCACTCACTCACTATCAGCCTATAAACATCAAGGCTTCTAAATTCTTAGTATGAGTGAGCAAATTATTCAGAGCAACATGTCTTATTTCTGTGTCTCGAAAATGAACTTAAACATCCAGCTCCAAATGTAAATAATAAAGGTGGTGCTGTTATCTTCTTGGGAATATTTTATGCATTCTGTTGCTTCTGAGCTTCTACTAGGGCTGAGATGGGTAACTCATGTACCCGTGTCGGGTGGGTACTGAGTAGGACCCGGGTACCCACAGGACTACCCTGACCCGTGGTTAGTCACATGATTATATGGTTTAATGGCAAATATTATCTAGAACTCTATAGTTACACTATAAGTGACAAACGATCACATTTCTTTCCGACTATGCACACATTCCTTCTGACTTTATATGTTTGCATAAAGATAAAACTTCAGTCAACTTCAGTTATGCATGACCAGGGCCCACTTGCACAAAGCGATCTTAGCGCTAAGACTATTGTAAGCCTATGTTAGAGTATGGGAGTTTCGATCATCTTAGCGCTAAGATCGCTTTGTGCAAGTGGGCCCAGATAATTTTATACGTGTATCTAAATACATTTTGTCAGGAGTACAGTCAAACGTTTCCCAATGGGACATTTTGTACCTATCTCTTGAGACCTACAGCGGTGCCCCGGGTAGGGTCGGGTAATAGGGGGGTAGGGTACCCGGGTAGTAAATTTGGACTCGTCCCAGCCCTAGTTTCTACACCCCAAACAGGACCATTGCAGGAATATTTGTGAATATCTGCGAAATGATGTGGTAAAGAATCGTTTAAGAAAGCTGACATCTGATTGTCTCAAGACCCCATGCATCATTCATTTAAATCGGGCAGTCAGAGTTTGCTCAGAGCTCACCTGATGATAGATATCACGGAAGGGTGGTCAGATCTGTAAACAGAGGTATCATATCGGAATAAAAGTTCTGATTTATTGAGATTGATTTATTTCCGTCCAAGTTGATGTGTAGTCAGATTTTGCTGTGTTTTTGAACCAGGTGAGGAGGACCACTTTTTATATATAATTTTTTACACTTATTTATTTGCTTGGTTTTTGTTACTACAAAGAATGCCATTATGACTGTTGAAAACCTTTGTTTTACTGAGGCCCATGCTTGCTGCTGCCCGTGCGCTGATTACGACAAAACAAGATTTGTCCAAACATGGAATTTGACAATGACATTACTTTGTCATTCCTATGAAATGGATTACTGAATAAAATTTGTTGCGTTTTCATTTCATTTTTAGTATACACTTCTCACTAGAAGTAAAAGTACACCCGATTTTATCACATAACCAGTTAATCTACACCACTAATGACAAGTTAACTCGTCAGATGAAAAAATTGGTTCTCTAACTTCTTTTGAGTATATAGACATATTTTTCTTCAGTGTTTGAAATGTCATTAATCTTGAGCAAATCTGTCGGGTTTAAATCACCTGCAACCTCTTGAATCCAGGATCCAAGAATGTTTTATAAATCGGGTTCATTTACAGCTATAACAAAAACCCAACTTGTGCGGTGTGTCACAAAGTTTTGTTCTTGGCGCAGTGTTGTGTTATCAGTGCATAGAATAAGCATAATGTAGACAAAGTGTGTATTTATTGCTGAGCTCTGAACTTTGAGTTGAACAGGGCCCTGTGGTCTAAAGCATCAACATTTACTGTCTCCTAGCTCCGTTCATCAGATAACGAATCCAAGATTGTCCTGTTTATGGTTTCTCAGCACCATTGCTTGTGGAATAGAGGTCTTCAGCAACCCTACTTGCTGTAAAAGGCGACTATGCTTGTCGTAAAATGCGACTAACGGGATCGGTGGTCAGGCTCGCTGACTTGGTTGATGCATGTCATCGATCCCAATTTCGTGGATTGATGCTCATGATGTCAATCACTAGATTGTTTGGTCCAGACTCGATTATTTACAGACCACCGTCATATAGCTGGAATATTGCTGAGTGCGGCGTTAAACAACAAAACAACCATTGCTTGTGGATATATGCAAAGACCTCAGCGTCTACCACCAGCGGTACTTCAGGCGTCTCTTAGGGTATTCTGGGTAATAATGAAGGTCCCAGTGACCTATGCTAGTCGCAAGAGATGACCTAATGGATCGTGTGGTCAGACTGGGTGACTTGGTTGATTGAGTGTAATCGTACCAGACAGTGTGGACCGTTGCTCATAATATCAATCACTGGATTGTTTGGTCCAGACTGAATTATTTACAGGCCGCAGTTATATACCTGAAATATTGCTGAGTGGGGCGTTGAACTACAAACAAATATCTGACTTTCCTCTGCAATCATAAAGCTGACATGCTGTTATATTACTGAAATATGTCCGAAGCAGCAATAATTCCTACTTGCTCAATCCAGATTAAATTTGGATTGTCAAGTAAAACTCAACTGCTATTCCGTTAAAGACAAGACAGTAATGGTAGATTATTTTGATCAAGCTCTTCAGTGTCTTGTCATTATATTGTTTAGTCTATCATTTTCACCATCAGGACTTGCATACCGTATATGACCGTAGATAAGTCGAATTTTGAGAACCAGAAAAAACAAAATTTGACGATAGGGGTTGGCTTACGTATGGGTTATGCTTTCATCAAACTTTTTTTCTGTTGGTAAAAAAACCACATTGCTTCAGGTGAATGAACAACTCTATAAAAAAACTTTGTCAAAGAAAATGTGAAATTTGCGATTAAACATCACTAGACATGATACTTGTTGATATTCTATTTACGATGACAGATCATGACGAGACGTAGTTTTAGGTCGGGGGTCCTGCTTGCTTACCGCACATAACATTTTGATGCAGATTTCAAGGACCAAGTTATACCTTGGCTTATCTATGGTCATATACGGTACATTTCATTTTGGCAAATACACTGTTTGCAACAGTGATGCGAGCTTTCATCAAGTGTGTAAGTAATTAAACTATTTATTATGAATAACAATGTCAAAATAACATGAAGAATGTTGCAGTTGTTGTGTTCAGCTGTGGAAGACCGCCGAGTTAGTTTTGCTGATATTGTGTCATAGTGCAGTCAATTGATGGCAAAGGATGAAATAAGGCTGAAAAAATTAAACAGAATCTCAAACAGCGTGGGTGTTTTGTTATCTGTTGTTCGTTTGTTGTTTGATGCCGCAC